TTCGCTGCAACTGTCTTTTTATTCCCTATGATCAAATGTGTATATTCCGTGATGAATAAGGGTCAATGGATTCGACACAGAAGACTAAAAAATCTGGCAACTACTAACTCACTGTTGTATACAAATTGAAGGAATAAGATTCAGATTTTTTTATCACGAACATCTAGTCAGTACTTCTGTCTGCTTCAGAAACTTAATGCGTTACCAAAAGCAAACTTTTATCAACAGCTGCTCCATAGTGAAGATTAGATGACCAGAAAGGATTGGCGACAAGGAACTCTGGAAATCAACAACCTATCGCCTAGCAAATACGCAGAAGGGAATGAAGATAAAATGGAGTGGATACACCTTGAGGAAAGATCATCATCACACACCAGGTAGGCTATCTAGTGGAACCTGAGCGGAGTGGGACGAGTTGAGCATCTCAGTGTGACAAAGAGGAGAAAGTGTGCTGAGGAGATAAAAGTTTATGGACAGTGGTGAAGACAGCTAAAAATGACTACAGAGGGTACGCTGTAATGGAGATATGCTTCTGGAAGCCCTAAGTGACACTCAAGACCCAAGGGATTAATATTAATACATAATATTCTAGGCAGCCAACTTTTCATCAATGCCTTATAGTTTCAGGTCATTTCTCCAATTATGGAGATTCATAGCGGTCAAGTAGCATTCCTCGATATCACCTACAGCCTAGCACTCAAAAATAAGAATGACTGCCATGCTGATGCTTTCTAAATTTCTTCAGTGACGTATAATTGTTAGAAGCTACAATCCATATTCTTTCATCTTGGTTGGTTTATAGGTGAAATTCAGTTAACTGATACTTTTAGGAGAGTGATATGCTATAGTAATTTTAGTTTACAGTAAAGAAACCAACCACTGACTCATCACCATTATGCAGTGCCATGAGGAGGGGCTTGACTAAGCTCAGCATCTGGTAAAAGTGTTATATCATGATGTTAGTCTAGTCACCAAAGCTCTTGTTTAAAACGCCTCCGTTGATACACGCTTTCCTTAGTCAATGAAATCTAGTTTCTCTGGTATGAGAGTGGAAGACATGAAAAGGTTAGCTGTCTTTGATCATAGGTGCCTGTGTTCTATCTCCCGTGTAAAATGGTATAATAGGGTGAGCAATAATGAGGTTAGGCATCGGTTGAGTGCTAGGAAAGGAGGGAGGGGAAATCAATAGACGAGGCTGTGAAGCAGCTGCATCGATTGAGAGAGATGGTTAACACATGTGTTACGCATGTCTGGCCAAGCCATCGCCTTCCTCGACAATGGGCAATCTTAGCTGACATAGGATGGATCAGGTTGGAAAAGAGATAGCCAGTGGTGGTCAAACCGAAACATAGCTTCATCAGTCAATGGAATCCACAACAGTGAGTTTAAGTCACGTAGGGAGGTGTAGACTTCCTTACTGGTTGGTTGGTGTCCTCGGGACGGTAAACACTAATGAATACTGGAGACAATGGGTGATATGGCTGGCTGAAAGTCATTCTCAATGGCTGGCGCAGATGCATCCACTCCTTGTAACTTATAATACCCAATAAAGCTTTATTGTTCTTCGATATTACTATTCCTTTTGCCTCATATCTCTGTTTACTGTCTCTATTTTGCGTTTTTTTTTTCCTTTCTTCTTTTCTGGCTTTGTGTGCTGAGTGAAGTGTGGCGACTCGAACTTCTGCACACTGGTGCAAAGTTCTATGTTGAAACCAGTCAGGCTAATCTGCATGTGTGATTATCACAGTCTACTTAGAGTTGGTGACATCCAGTGTCAATACCATGTAATTAGTCCCGAGGTCTGATGGTACATGTTTTGAAAAGATTCTGGTCATCTCTTAGTAGGAGTAGAGTTATCTCAGTACATCGGCTTTTGTGAGACATCCTCTCAGCTTCCATACCGTTCACTGATTTGCTAGTCCCTAAAGATTTGTTGGCCATCTCATGAAAAATGATAGTTTTCGCCTCATGACTCCCTGGATGAAGTCTAGAAGATCACGGGACTTTCTGTCGCAGAACGTTATCAGATAAGATTAAGCATCTATATTGATGGCGGACATGTTGCAGTTTTTGTGTTTCTTCTACTTCTGAAAATAATACAAATTAACAAACTCTCTTTTGAATATGTTCGGTAAGTGAGCTTATCTTTCTGTGTTAATTTTGTGAGCCACTCTGAATGATGAGTCAGACGGAGAAAGAGAAGAATAACGTGCAGTCTCAAAGTGGTGGATATTGTAGAGAGGTGAATCTCTAGAACCCTAAAGAAGACCTGCTCTACATTTACCGTTAATGAAGGTTGTAACTGTTCCTCAAAAAACTCTCTTGATACACTAGAAGTTCAAAGGTGACACTGAAGTAGAAATGTTTAGGAACCGCTATTCAAAGTGTTTGAAGAAGACATTTAACGCAGCCATTTTGTGAACTGCATTCTCCAGCAGACAGTTAGTTATTCAAGTCATACGTTAACGACAAGATACTGTTGTGGGCCATCTCATCGTGTATTTATCAATTTACTTGTTCCTGGGGAGCAAAGTATATCGATTTTACACAGAGTCATGTCCGTAAACTTATTTCTCGTAGCTAGCCAGAGAAGAACTAAAGAATATCGATAGTTCTATCCCCGACCACCTTGTCAACACTGGACATCAGGCACCTTCGCATAAGTGCTACACAGAGTTCCCTAGTACCAACCATATGAAAGGACTTCGAATACGTACGTCATCTATACATAGCCAAATCACTGGCTATTGGAAACTTGAAATCGGACTTCTGTGCTCAAACGTGTTACATGCCCTCACTCGCCTTATCGTGGCACAGTTACATTCTCGCCATAATTTTGTTTCAATTTAGTTTTTTTAAGTTTATTATTAGAATTTTATAATTATCATTATTGTCATTATTATTCTTTATTAATAACATTTCATTTCTCATAAAGATTTTGTATAAACACTTTACCATATTTCCATTAGCTTTAGTCCATCTTGTGCATTTAGATTGGTTTGTAGGGGATCTGAGAAGTTCGTCAACTCAACTGAACCCCAGCCGTTTCAACGTCAACGATCAACTTGTTTATCTGTGCAGATTGAAAGACATTGTGGTCGAGATAATTTACAATGGTTTGGCAGCTTCCTTGTACTTTACATGCTTATACATATACACTCGTTGCAAATTATCTTCAGTAAATAAATTCGCTAGTTGGGGTGGTGTTAAGAGCAGCCTGACCACCAGGCTAAATAGTTAGCAAATAGAATGTCTAGCACTCAGGTCTAGCAGGATTCGTAGCCACACAACAATCGTGAGCATTATATCCAATCGAAAACAACTTGAAACGAGTTCAAAATCATTTAAGCAGCCTAACCAACTGGTTTCCTAGAATTGGTCAGCCCGTCGTGATACGAACACACAGTCTTCTGATTTGGAGTTAGATTAGTTTTAATTGTAGTGGACTGGATTATACGTAAGACTTTGGGTAGCGAGGAGACAGAAATACGCTGGGTCTATAGGGAGACTAGAAGATCTGAATTTCGCAGATGATATATGTCTAATGAAACAGAAACCTGAAGACTTGCAGACGAAAAGCAACAAACTGGCAGAAGAGGCGAGGAAGACAGCGAAGACAGGACTGCAGGTGAACATGGAGAAGACGGAGTAATGAAGATAACCAAACAGTCAACCAACCAATCACTATCAATGGAAGAGATTTGACAGAGGTTACTGCCTTCACTTATCTGAGAAGCACAGTTTCAATCACAGGCAGTGGGAGCAGGTGAAGATGTCAACATCAGCTAGAATCGGATAATGGAGATACATCTTCACTAACCTGAAACCAGTCTGAAAATATCCTGCACTCACTTGGCATAAAGAACAAGATTCGGATTTTCAATACCAATGTGAAGTCAGTCAGTCGGTGCTTCTATATGGGTCAGAAATTTGCACTGCGTGCCACGGACAGGATTTCCAACAGCCTGTTACAGACTTTTATCAACAGCTGCCACCTTCGCTGGCTCCATACTGAAGACCAAATGGACTATTGTCTGGCCAAAAAGAATTAGCAACAGGAAACTCCGCAGTGGAACAAACCAACGGGCGAGAGCCTATTGCTCAACAAACATTTAGGAGAAAATGGAGATATATCGGGTACACGATATGAAGACCGTCGAGTGACATAGTGCACATTGCAGGCCATCGCTCAAGTCGAATCCCAATGGAATGCAACGAATGGATCGTCGGCGCTAGGGTGACGTGGAGAAGATCGTGTGAGTTGGAGTAGGAGATGAGAGATTATGGTCAATCGTGGACCCAGCTAAAGAGGACAGCTGAGAACAGAAGGGAGTGGAGATGTATTGTTGAAGCAGTATGTTCCACTCGGAATCCAAGGGAACAATAATAATAATGGTCACTTTTCACGCTTAGCACGTAATACTAAATCCTTTTCCTTTTTCCTGATCTCCACTTAATCATCCATTTCTAGATCACATTCCACATTATGTAACACATTTTCCAGAACATAGTTATTGTCATCTGATTGGTTTTATGCATTTGTTTATCTAAATAATTTGCTATTGTCCAGTATCTCTTGAAAATGATTCGTCGAAAAAAAGTTTTTTCCTTCCCTGATACATCTTCTTTTCTTTATGACTCAATAGTACTACTAATCATTGCTCAAATGGTATATCCATACTTTCAGTTGATCAAAGTTTAGACATTTCAAGTTACGCAGAACGGAACAGTAAATCTCACTGCGTACTAACGAAGCAGAGTCCCAAACTAGGCCGACGAAACAGCTGGCTGTCCAGTACTGCCAGCTGGTTTTCCAAGTGTTCTCTAAATGATGTCAGCTGATGATGAAATCCTGTAACCAAGCAAACAAAATCCCTACAAAACCAATACTTGAACACATTTAGCACAGTTGAACAATTTTTATCTCTACAGAAATACACTACTTTTTCTGTAATAAGTAGTATAAATAATTTACAGCATTTATTTATGAAACTATAGTGCATAAATATCTTGTTGTTTTTTTCATTCTTACAATCAAAATAACAATAAATAGTAAAGTGATTGTGACAACATTTATTGTACAAGATACAAGAAAGACCGTTCAAACGACTATTTTGATGCTTTCAAAAGTAGGTAGTGGAAAGTTATGACTCACTGTTCAGGTGGGGAAAAAAAATCACAATAAAATCAATAGACATCATTTTCAGAAGTAGAAAAAATATTTCTACACACAATAGTTGCACAATATTACAACAATAATTACATACTTCTTGGGCATAGAAGAACAGGTATACGACAATTATCTGTGCAGTGATTAACTTGGCTTACTGTTAAGGAATCGTTCAACCATTGTCGAAATGTTTGATCATGTGTACAATTTGAAAAAGTGGTGTTACCCTCAGGATTGAATTGCGCGGTAGTAGTGGTAGTAGTAATATTACTATTATTGAAATCATTATGATTGACAGTTTGTTTTACTAATGGGGTTAAATTAGTCTGATTTTCAATAGTATCATTCTCAATAGGATATTGAATCCTTGAATTTAAATTGGTTAAATCGATTTTTTCACTAAAATAATCAATATTGTTGTGATGTGATATTAAACCAGTTGATAATTTAGCTGAAGAGGCTTGAATATATGGACTGAATGAATTTAATTGTGGAGGATATAAAATTTGTGATTGATAATACTGATAATTACTATTATTGGGATTAGTATTATTATTATTATCATCACTTAAACTTTCATCACACGAGCTTTCATCAATTGTTGAAGGATAATTTTGAGGTATGAATGAAGCTCTAGTATGCTTAACGTCTTGATTTGTAGACCATGCTAGTGTGTTATGAACTGCTGTCATCTGTGGTGGGGGATTATTTAATACTGAGTGTGTGGTTAAAACGGAGGGAATTACAGAATCAGTATTATTGTTATTACTGAGCGTATAATTTACACAGCTTTCGTCATATCCACCTTCATTTATAGGATAATTTGACCATGAACACGTTTTCTTACTTAAATTAGTATGATTATCATTTAAACTGAATAAAGATGAATTCGATGTTGGCAATAACTTTATTGTATTAGATGGATATGATGAAGTGGGCATAGTGTTGCCTAACTCTTGTGACATTAAATTTAAAACACTTTTCTCATAATCATGTACAACATAAGATAAGATTGGATTCATTGGTTGAATGGTTTCTTGTTCAAATCTTAACTTTTCATTACTATTGGACATTGAATGTGTTAGCGGATAATTTGAATTGATAGTTTGTCTATTGATTAGTGTTGGCATTTCATTCAAACTATTACCATTGTTATTATTATTAGTAGTATATTATTACTATTATGTGAAAATGTTGGGAAATCTTGGAGACGGAAATAATTGCTAAGTTGACCTTGTGTATGGAAATTATTGTTCGTTAGCTGGGGATTGTAGTAATGCCTGTTCATTGGATTGCTAGATAGATTTTTATTACTCATCTGTTTCATTGTATTTAATTCGTCTATAATGAATTGATTCATTTTTGAATGATCCGTTATCCTGTCGTCAGTAATCAATGGATTTGACATAGAATCCAGTGATGTGAGTTGTCGGACATTCTGATAGTGATGAGGATGATGATGAAGGTGGTTGCTTCCACTGGTGTTGTATCGATATGCCATAGGATCACCTTCAGATTCTGAATCGATTCCTCCGTATGTTTCACTGTAAAATAAAATATATGTTGAAAAGTTTATTTTTTCTTTAAAAGACCATATATTTATATATCTATTTAAGTAGTATTATTGGATAGGAATGAAATTTAACTTTAAATAATATCACGAATATATTATTTCTGGCAGAAACTCTAAGATTTACAACCGACTAGCTGCCAGAAGAGGCAGTGAAGGTAGAGGTGATGAAGATAAGCGACTGACCAACAAAAGTAAACACCAATCACTGTCAAAAAGGAGACATCTTAAGGAAGTCTTCCCTTTGACCTATATGGTCAGCATCGGTGCAACTGCATACAGCATAGACAGCAAGGATTTCAAAGCTAGATATTATCAGATCGGCATCACATAGATAGGTTTTTATTGCTCTAAACTCAGTGTATTGATTCACAGTACCTAGAACAAGGAACAAGGACCAGATAGTAATGTGAATTCTGTGCTTCTATATGCCTCAGGGACTTGACTCACGTGTCACTTGAGACATTTCCAACAGACCAATGGGAACTTTCACCAAAAAGTGGCTCAATAGTGAAGATGAGATGGCTGGAGAGAAAGGATAAAAAACAAAGGGCTGAGAGTGGTGAAAAAGAGAAATTATTATTATTAAATAAAAAATGTCGAAGGACATGCAGATGGACTGAACATACATTGAAGAGACATTCAATTGAAGTCACACTCCAGCCAGGTTGTCGAGTGGAATTCAGATGAGAAGTGACATAGTGAAGATCAAATAAGGTTGAAATGAAAGCCTGTGGACAGTAGTACACAGTTGGTTGAATGTGAGAAGAGACAACTGAGCAAAATGGAGATGTGCTGCAGAAGCCCTATGCAACACTCGAAACTCAAAGAATGAATGGAGATTGATTACTACTGCATAAGAGCTTCGGCTGCTGTTGGTGACATCATGATAGCCACAGTGTGCTGGTGGTTGTCATCTGGACAACAAGAGTAGATTTTTGACTGTCCAGTTAACAGTTTGTAAAGTCCACATCCATTCCATCTGCTCTCGCAGATTTCCAGCATGTCTATACCATATCTTCTCATTTCTTTGGCCACCTGGACAGCCTTCTCAGCTAGCCTCGTACATTGTACGAACATTCCAACTCCCCATTCTTATGCTTGCTTTCATCGAAAGAAGACACACTGGCTGGCTGACTGACTACCTAAAGGCTTTCACCAGCCCAAAGAGTCATTTTGTCTCTCCGATTCCAGCGAAGAATATGTTTGATTGTTATTATTTTTATTGTATGATGATGTTTCTATAGCGATTGGATTAACTTTCTATGGTAGGATCACTAGCCCCACATCCAAACACTCCTTTTTCCCAGTTTACAAGGCGAATGGATCGGGTCCCAGAGGCTTAATGTTCTACGAGATCACTTGTCTTGTAACCAGAAGGTTCTAGGTTCGAATCCTTGTGGTGGGTGCGTACTACGGAAGCAGACTCGCAAACTAGGCTGATGAAACGGCTGGTTGTCCAGTACTCACAATTAGTTTTCAATGGTTCTCTAACCGGTGTAAGTTCATGATGAAATCTTCTAACCAATCAGATCAAATCAAATCCTTGTAAACCGACATTTGAAATATTCTTTGCTTGAAATCAAAAAGATATGAGACGAACAACAAAGATTAGAAGAAAAACTGATACACCAAGATAAGTAATATTCGATTTATTTCCTACAACAGTATCTCTAAGATTACAAGAATTATAACACTGAAGCAGTCTATTCAAGTCTTCTCTTCATCATACCTGAAACTAGAGTTGACAGTCTAACCGACTTTTAAAGCGGTTCACAGTTTCAGATTATTTGAATAAGTTCACTAGTTAATTTTAGATAAGAAACTATTCATTATAAGGACAGTCTAATTCAGGAACAATTCGAATGGAGATAATTACACTGTCTGCATCCTTCGTGAAATTAGCCTTAAGCATAATACGGTAAGTTATAGAAAAAGAAAGAAAACAGAAATAGAAGAAGTACGACACCTGGAGGCATGTCATCTCCAGTAAACAATAAATTGTAACGCTTCGTGATGAAGATAGTCTTGTGTCTTCTGACTTGAAGAAGACAACCACTTTGTGATGCAGTCCTTAGTCATTCTGAAGTCGGCTTGCTTAATTCAACTCCCTGTGAATAGAATGAATAGCACTAATGTAGTCTGTCTAAGAAGGCAAAGTGAACCAGATACGTATACATATATCATTATCATTATTATTCCCTTCGGTTCCGAGTGGAACAGAACTTCAACAACACATATCCACTTTATTCTATTTTCTACTGTTCTCTTCAGCTGGCTGGCTGGCTCCACGATTACCCGTTATCTTTCATCTCCTCCTCCCCAACACATTGACAATCCACTCGTCGCTCCCCATTGGGATTCCACTCGACCAATGGCCTGGCTAAAGTGCGATGTCATTCGATAGCCTCCTCAATTTATGCCCGACCGATCCATCTCCATTCTCTCCTACATGTTTGTTGAGCAATCGGCTCTTGTCTGTTGGTTTGTTCCCAGCCAGAGTTTCTTGTTGCTATTTCTTTCTGACCAACCGGCCATTCGATCTTCAGTATGGAGCCAGCCAGCGAAGGTGGCAGTTGTTGATAAAAGTCTGCAGTAACCTGTTGGAAATCCTTTTCGTGACAAGGCCGCTGAGTTTCTGACCCATATAGAAGAATTCAATGACTTGACATTTGTGTTGAAAATCCGAATCTTGCTATTTATGCTGAGGCGGAGTGCAGAATACTTGCAAACTGGTTTCAGGTTGATGAAGGCGTATCTTGACTTTCTGATTCTAGCTGGTGTTGATATCTTCATCCGTTCCGACTGCGTGTGGTTGAAACCATGCTGGCTGTCTAGATAAGTGAAGGAAGTAACGTCTGTCAAACCTCTTCCATTGATGGTGATTGGTGCTGGTTGTTGTTCTAACTTTTGCCAATTAGCAACATATAGTGTCGAAACCAAAATGTATTATGCAATCACACCACACTTCTCAGATAACTTGTTTTATTCCTTTACGTTCCCAGTGGAACATAGGACTTCAAGCTTTAATTTTGAAGTTTCAATAGCAGTGATGTTTTTCAAGGGGTGGGGTTGCTAGCAGGCTTCGGAAGGCAAAGAAGCACGCCGGCCGGGGCTCGAACCCCGGACCACGTGCACGACATGGCAGCACTCTACCTCTGAACTACCAACGCATACACTTTTCAGATAAACACTATCCAAATCGGTAGACTTCCGCACAACACTTTGTTATGAATTTCTCCCATCGTCTTTTTTTAAACTATATTAATCCGTTAACCGCTATACGAATCCCTGTTATAAAATAAATAAGACTTCTTTAATAAGTGCCCATTTTATCATTATTGTTTTCTACTCAGTCGATAATTAAAAACGGATTTAACCAACTTGTTTAGTAAAGGTGTACTATTCAATAACTAAATCTGTATGGTAAGAAGAATTACTTTATGTGCGAATTTGGAGTTGTGGTCAAACCTGAAAATACATTAACCTTACATTATTGAAGAGTATTCGAGTTAGTAGTATCTAGATGGTTGGAGGTAATTGCCAAGATGATTTGTACCTAGATTTCGTGCTTATTGACACTCATCAGAAAGGTGTATGTATGTATCTACAGCTTTGAAGGAATTAATGTCCATTCTGAGATTCGAACCCGCGTTACTCAGTACTTAAGTCATACACGTTACCACTGAGCTTTACCAGCTAGTTCATGAGTAACTGCCTGTAGGATGTAAACTATGTCGAGTGCCAAATGAGATGAGACATCAGTCCATTCGAGAATGTTGGCAAACCTAGATGCGTGGCTTCCTACCGAGTACCTTCAGCTTTCTACTATCGATTCAGACTGCATCATGATGACGAGTCATCTAGCTAGCCAATCAAACCGCAAACTTGATGAATACAATTCAGTCAGCATGAAAACTAGCCATATGACACTGATTATTCCCTAGTGACTGAGCGAGTTTCAACGTAAAACTCTCCACAGAGGCACACCAGTTCAAGTTGCCACACACACAAACACATACATATAAGAGAAATACTGGGATTCAAAAAATAATAATAAGCAGAAATATGACTCAGAAAGAATAATGACATAGAAAAACATGATGGATTAGTAAATGTGCAAGGTCACAGAAAGTGAGTGCATCTGCATCCCGAGGACCCAACTAGGCTGTCTACACCTCCGAACGTGACTGGCTCAAACCAACTCTTATGGATCGATTCGAAGTTTTCGTTTGATCACACCCAACTCTTTTCTAACATAATACTATGTCAGTCAAGATTGTCTGCCGAAGAATGTGGTGCGCAACACGTATCGTAGCCATATCAGTCGACTCATCTTCACAACCTCACTGATTGATTCACTCTCTTTATCGAGTACTCTGAACCTTTCGTCAAAATTACTCACCACATTATACCATCTAGCATAGAAGACAGAATACAAACTTCTCTGATCAAAGAAGTCTCTTCCACTTTGAATGGTCATCATTCACAGTCATAAAGGAGAAGAGATGATCAATCAGTGTAAAGTAACCCATTAGTTTGAACAAATGAGGCGTTTAGTGATATGCCGTGGAATCTGTGAGAGGTTTACTTGAAATTTTAAGTATACCTTCTTGATGGCCAACAACAGAAGGAAACTAGGACCCACTTCGAACTACCTTCAACAAGCTATCATCACATCATTATGTCCGAAAATTCGCTATTATGTCATTATATCAAGAAAAAGTTTCATTTAGAAGATAACCTACTTATTTTCTTGAAGAATTTATTCTTAGTTCACAGATAGGTATTCAAATTAATCGGTCTTGAATAGCTGCGCTTCTGCAAGGCATAACGTAGTCACGCAAAACACCTTCGAAGACGACTAGAAAATATGGTATGGTCAAAATTCACAAGTGTTTTAAAAAGGAAATGTCCATTCTATTCCGGGGATATAGTCACTGTGTCAAATGTTTTGACATCAAGACATAATTT